TCCTTACTCAGCGGGTTTTTTTGACAATTGAGGTGCGTTTCTCAAAAGTATAGTTTTTTTTTTGTTTCCTCACCATCAAAATGACAATATTTAAAAGTAACATTTTATTGAGTGCTTGGTGCCAGGTACTGTGTGCAATGTTTTGCATGTTATTGTGTTAATCCTCCAACACCCCCTTGGGGCGGCAGTCTTTACAGGTGAGGATACGGAGGCTCGGCAAGGCTAAGTAACCCGCCAAGGTCACGGAGCTGGTAAATTTTTGTGAGATCAGGGGTCCAGCCCAAGGTTTGCTGCTCTCAACCTGCTGCCCCATAGCATAGAAGCCACAGATCACAAGAGGGGAGGGAGGAACATCAGCCTAGAGTGGGACCAGGTCCAGGAAGGGAACTGACGTGCATCAAGGGACCTGACAACTGGTACGTGATTTTCTACCGACTTCACATGAAGGGTATATCATGTGAAGGTTCTCCAAAGAAACAGAACCAACAGGTTGTACACCTATCTATCTATCTATGTGAAAGAAAGAGATTTTATGTGTGTGTGTGTAGAGAGAGAGAGAGATAAAGCGAGAGAGATAAAGAGAGATCTATTATAAAAAATTGGATCATGCAACTATGGAGGCAAATTCCAACATCTGCAAGGTGAGCCGGCGAGCTAGAGACCCAGGAGAGCCAATGGTGTGGTTCCAGTCTAAAGGCCACAGGCTCAAGACCCAGGAAAAGGCAACACTTTCGGTTCGAGTCTGCAGGCAGGAGAGAATGGCGATGTCTCCCTGGAGGGCAGCCAGGCGGGAGGAATTCTCTCTTACTTGAGGGAGGTTCAGCCACGTCCTCTGTTGAGTCTGCACCTGACCGATGAAGTCCACCCACACGAGGGAGGGCAATCGGCTTTACTCAGTCCGCTGATTTAAACGTTAATCTCATTCAAAAACGTGCTCACAGAAACACCCAGAATAGTGTTTGACCAAATATCCTATGGGCCAGTCAAGTGGACACAGGAAGTTAAGCATCCCATGGGGAAGACGGAATAATAAAGGAGATACAATGCTCAAAGAACACGGTGGTGCGGGACTATTTAGCGTAGGGTTAAGTGGCTTGACGCGAAGTGTGGAGCAGGCGAAGGTCTTGATCTAGGGGCTGTCGGCTCGCCCCGCTTGGAGCCAGAGCTGGATTCATTTTCTCACAGCCCCCAGTGACCCCGGCATTCTCTTGCACCCCCCTCAGCACTGTCCTGATTGAGTCCCCTGGGCTAAGGTTCTTCTGAGTCACTGAAGAGGTGTGATTTTTTCATTTCTTTACTCGCCCAACATTATTTATTTATTTTGAGGAAATATGAGAGTGCAAACATTTTGGCTGCATTTTATATCTTTGCCTCTCCCTAGCAAGGGTTGGAGGTATGCCCTTCCCCTCCACGATGCTCACCACATCCCTCAGGTATGGGTCTCCCCCCCCAACCCCCGAATCCCTGGTGAACAGCACCACCATTTGAGCACCATAGTGTCAATCAGTCCGTACCAATTTGATGGCGAGTACATGTGGAGCCCATTCTTCTGGTCTTGTGTCACCTCACTTCGGATAATGGGCTTAAGCTTAATCCAGGATAATATGAGCGGCCTTAGCTCGCTGTCATTTCTTAGAATTGAGTAATATTCCATTGTAAACATATACCAAATTTTAATAATCCACTCATGAATTGACGGGCACTTGGGTTGTTTCCATGTCCTTGCAGTAGTGAATTGTGCTGCCGTAAACATTCGGGTCTTTATAATAGAATGTCTTCTGCTCTTTTGGGTAGATGCCTAATAGTGCTATTGCTGGATTGAATGGTATTTCTATTTTTAGCTCTTTGAGGTGTCTCCAAATTCTTTTCCACAAAGGTTGCACTAATTTGCAGTCCCACCAGCAGTGTAAGAATGTTCCTATCTCTCCATATCCTCGTCAGCATTTGTTGTTTTGGGATTTTTTGATAGAGGCCAGTCTCACTGTCACCCAGCATTTTTAAATCCCTGTTTTTGACTGAGAAAATAGACATGAGAGACACTTCAGGCATCTGCTAGTCTGGTGGGAGGACAGAGAGGGAAGACACTTGTAGAGTGTGAGAGATGCTGAGATTATAAATTAGCACTGGATATTGTGCAAGAACATAGGGGACCCCTTATCAGCCTAAGGAGTCAGGAGAGGCAGTCAAGCTTCAGCAATGCTTTAAGCAGAAGCTAGCCAGGGAGTAGGGACAGAAAAAAATAGATTTGACATATATGATGCCATAAAAGCAAGAATGCAAAATGCTGCACATTAGGGAACTCTTGAGAAGTTTGGTTGGAGGTGGCACTTTGGAATCACCTGGGAGCATTACAAAAGTACTGATGCCTGGGTCCCACCCCCAGAGATTTTGATGGACTGGCCTGGGGTGGGGCCCTGGAGTCAGTAGTTTTTCTAAAGTGCTGCCAGGGCTGAGGACAAGAGGGTAATAGAGGCTGCTGCAGAACTTAAGCTTGGAGGAAGCAGTGGAGGATCTCTTTTAGGATATGATCAAGAATCTGAGCTTGCCGTGGGACATAGGAAAGACTCGTGCAGAGCTCAGTGGAGAAACAAGGACCTGCCGATCTGCACCTGGGGCCTCACCTGCCCCCCTAACTGTTCCTCTTGAGCTGCTGTTTCTTAGTCCCCATTTAAAAGGGAAAGTCAACTGGGAAATAACAAAACATACAATAAAATAAAAATAAGCTGAAAAATTACTCAATAAAAGAAGCCATAAAATAGTAAAAGCAGGCCGATGCAGTAAAACCCCCCAAACTCAAGCAGACAGAATCACCACCAGGGGCCAGGCAATAAAAACCGTAGCTAACAATGTACTGATCCGAGTGGTGAGCAGCTCCGTGCACAGAGACACCCGAGCTCCGCCACCACCCCAGGAGGGAGGGAGGGTTATCATTTCCATTCTACAGGAGGAAAACGAGGTTTGGGGAGATCAAGTACGGTGCTCAAGGTCACAGCGGGCGGGGCAGGGTGATGACTGCATTTTAATGATGAGGAAATGGAGGTGAACTTGACTTGCCGAGAGCAGACAGCCAGACAGGGGCAGAGTAAGACACTGAACTCAGGTTTTCTAACTCAAGTCTCGAGCTCTTTCCCCTGAAAAGAGGCTGAAGCCTGGCTGTACATCGGAGTCACCTGGTGAGCTTTTAACACAAACTGATGCCAGGCCGAGTGTGGTGGCTCATGCCTGTAATCCTAGTACTTTGAGAGGCTCAGGTGGGTGGAAGGATTGCTTGAGGCCAGGGGTTCAAGACCAGCCTGGGTAATATAGTGAGAGCCTGTCTCTAAAACAACAACAACAACAACAAAACCCCTCAAAATATTGGTGCCAAATAGACGTTTCTTCAAAGAAGATGTACAAATTGGCCAACAGGTATTTGCAAAAAGTGCTCAACATCACTAATTATCAGGGAAATTCAAAATCACAATGAATTACCAGGGAAATTCAAAATCACCTCACACCTATCAGGATGGCTACAATCAAGACAACAAAAGACAAGTGCCGGCGGTGAGGGTGTAGAGAGATTGGAACCCTTGTGCACTGTTGGTGTGAATGCAAAATGGCACAGCTGCTACAGAAAACAGCATGGAGGCTCCTCAAAGAAATTAAAAATAGAATTGCCATAGGATCCAGCAACACCCTTTGTGGGTATTTATCTGAAAGAGTTGAAATCATAATGTTGAGGAGATGTTGGTGCTCCCATGTTCACTGCAGCATTATTCCCAATAGCCAAGAGACAGAAACAACAGAAGTGCCCGTGCATACAGTAACGGATAAAGAAAATGTGGTATATACATGCAGTGGAATACTATTCAGCCCTAAAGAAGGAGGAAACTTTGACATATGCAACAACATGGATGAGCATTGGGACATTATGATAAGAGAAACAAACCAGTCACAGAAAGACAAAGGATTCTATTTAGAAGAGGTACCTAGAGTAGTCAAATTCATAGAGTCAAACAGTGGAATGATACAGGGCAGGGGTGAGGGGAGGAAGAAAGGGGGGTTACTAATCAATGGGCAGAAAGATTCAGTCCAGCGAGAGAAGCTCTAGAGATCTGCCGTGCAACATTGCACCTGTCACCAACAATACTATACTGCACGCTTAAAAATTTGTTGAGGAGGGAAGATCTCTTAAGTGTTCTTACCTCAACAAAAGTAAAAAGAAAGAAAGAAAAGAAAAAGAAGTCCTGATGCTGCGCCAGCCCTCAAATCTGACTTGGATGGTCTGGGCTGGGCCCAGGCAGGAGGGGCGAACATGGCGCAGCTCCACTTGCTGATGGCCGTGCTCTGCTCTTAGTCGTAATTGCCGTTATTTACGGAGAACCCCGTGTGTTAAGCACTTTGTGGCTGTTTCTTTGAGCCCTCCCGATATCGTCGTCCCCACTTGGGAGCTGAGGAAATGGAGAGGCCAGGCCACTGTCTCTGGGCCACCCAAAGGGTGTAGTCACTAGGGCCGGTGTCCAGCCCTGGCCAGCCTGAGCCCAGAGCTCGTGCTCTAGCTGCCGTGCCTCCAAGCAGGCTCCTGCACAGCACAGTCCAGTTCGTTCCGCTTCTCCGTCCTTTAAGCGTTAGAGTCAATAGCGTAACCTTTGTCCTGTCCACACTGGGGCAGTCATCATCCAGGCAGAGAGAGGGTTGGTGGCTCAGCATTGAGGAAGAAGAACTTTCTGGCAGTCAAAGGAGCTCAACGATGAGATGGGCTGCTGGGGGAGGCAGTTGGGCACCTGCCACCATCCCTGCACGACCATTAGAAGGACTCGTTGGGAAGGGGACAGTCGTCCCTCAAAGTAGTGTGTGTGTGCGCGTGTGTGTGCATGTGAGACTGCAAGAGGGTTGGGATGAGATCCTCCTAATTTGCCCCGGGGAACCTGAAATGGAGGGGCTCAGTCAAAGCTCGGCGGTAGAGTGTTGCTGGAAGGTGAGCTCACAGAGCTGGAGTTCTAGAAGGCCCTAGGTCGGTCTGGAGCCTGCTCCTCCCCATCATTCTCTTCATACTGGGTGTCTGGGGCCCTGGCAGTGTCGTGGGGGCGTCCTGAGCAGAAGCAGGGTTTGAGGCCACGGCTGCTGCTGCCTTTGCCGCCACCACCGCAGCCCTGGTGGGGAGCACCCCTGATCAGTGAGCCCCCTCCCTGCCCTCCCTCCTGCACTGTCAACCAAGGCCCTGGGGTGGTCTGGCCAGAGAGGCGCATGGAAAGGCCAGGCGGTGGTCAGAGAGGAGGGGTATCCTGGCCTGGGAGAACGATGAGCTGAGAGAGCGAGGGGGAGAGGGAGAGAGACCTTCTCTGATCTCGGAATCACCAGACCGGGCTCCTTGAACTCCTGCTGTGAAATACTCAGGTTAGAATTACTTTTAAGTCACTTTACTATAAAAAAAAAAAAAAAATCAAAACCAGTCACTGTGCAGCAGTCCACTTGGTTTCTTCCTCTACAAATTAGGGCTATTAATCCCACTGCCCTGAATTGTTGAGAGGATTAGATGAGATTAAGTTAGAGCACCTCTAGAAAAGGCCTGGCACGGTGCCTGCGGATTTTAAGAACTCGACGAGGAGGTTGTTCCCCTCCCTCCGCCTCCCCTCGCGTTGATGAGAAGGGCTCCTGTCCTTGTCACGCCTTCTCAGGACTTCGGTTTAAGAAGCAGCCACTGCTCCTGGCTTGACTCTCAGGATAAGCAGACAGACAAGACCGGGCCTCTGTTCTTGGGGAGTTCACCTTGCAGTGGGAAGGACTGACTCCATTACAGACGAGAGTGACAGAGGAGGGTGGAAGATCGGGCACTGCGGGATTGTCGGGGGCAGTGGCCGGCCAGAGGGGTCTTGCTGGGGGCCCCACTTCTGATGCGGCCCTTGAAGCATGAGTGAGAGTTACCGTGTAGAGGAAAGGAGACAATGAATGTTCTAGATAGCAGAGTCATCGCGACGACTGGCAGCGTGGTGTTGCTGGGCCCCAAAGTGGGAGTGAGGGAGGGGTTGGCAGGGCTGTGTCAGGATGGGAGCAGTGATTAGGGCACCAGAGGCTGTCGCAGGGCCAGGCTTTTTGTTTAGAACGCCCGTTCCGATGCACGTGCATGGGATCGTTTGGAAGAGGGTGCAAGAAGACCGTAAGGGAAGCCGTGTTGGTGGCTGGAGCTTAGGAAAAGATGGTGCTCTGGGGAGGGAAGGCAGAATCCGCGGGGCTCGGGGCTTGGTTGGCTGGGGGTGGGTGACGGCCCCGTGGAGGTGAAGAAGGAGGGGTGAGGGGTGGCCTCCGTGTTCCAGTTTGGGTGAATGGCCGGCCCGTAATGTTCTAAACCAAGAAAGGAGAGACACGGGGACAGCAGATTTTGGTGTGAACGTTGGTTATGTTTAGAGGTGCTCAGTTTGAGGTGGCTGTGGGACAGCAGGTGACAGTGCCCAGGATGCAGCTGCCTCTGAGGTCTCTGGGGACAATGCGATAGGAGGTCATCGGCCTGCAGGTGGTGGCAACAGCAGGCCTGCCCAGAGGGCTTCCCCATGTGGAAGAGGAGGGGGCTCAGGGTGGAAAGGCCTGGAACACACATCAGCATTCCCGGCCTGGGCAGAATTGGCTTCCACAAAGGAGGATGAGGAGAAATAGCCAGAGAGGGAGGAGGGGAGCCCCGTGGAGCCCAAGAGAAGCAAGTGTTTCAATAAGGGCGGCGGGCGACAGTGTGAATTCCTGTTGAGAGCTCCTAGGAACTGGCCGGGGTCTACTGGACGGAGCAGAGTGGTTTCCAGAGGGGGGTGGTGCTGGGGCAGCCGATTTCCCTGGGTTGGAAAACAAACGGGGCAGGGCGGAAGTGGCAGCTTTCCCCCAGGAGTGTGGATGAGAAGAGAGGGCGGGACAGGTGGGCACAGGTGGACCAGGGGCTCTCCATCAAGGGGCGGCGTTGTGGGACTGGAGACTCCAGCGTGTCCTGTGCGTGCAGAGGCCGGGGGAGCAGGCCGAGGAGAGGCCCCGCTGGTGCTGGGAGGGAGGGGACGACGAGGGGACAAGGTGTGGAGATGGGAAGGGGCAGGTCTGGACACAGGTGGAGGCCCCGCATCCTCACGCTGGGGGTGGAGACGGGGCTGCTGACGAGCTGGCCAGCGGGATGGGGCTAAGACAGAAAGGGAGACATTCCACCCGCGATCACCTTGCTTGCCTCAGTGCAGCAGGAGGTGAGGTCATCTTCTGGGGGCGAAGGGCTGGGACAGGGTGGGGGGCGAGGTGCTCGAGGACGATCAGGGGGGTTTTGAGCTCCCTCCGAGGGAGATGGAGAGAGAAAGCCGGCCCGAGACAAGCGTCAGTGCTAGTGCTAGTTGTAGTTCATGATGGAAATAACAGCTGACCTATTTTTAGTGCAAAGAGCTAAGTGCTCCCCACGCCTTCTCTCGTTTATTCTTGCAACAATTGTACGAGGCAGGTGTTATTAATGTCCTCGTTGTGTACGTGAAGAAATGAAGCTTAGAGAGCGTCCAAAGTCAGAGACGTAGCAAGGAGCAGAGGGGGCTTCAAACCCAAGTCTTGCTGCAAAGCCATGCCCTTTGCCCCCCTGTCAGACTCATGACATTCCAGGTCCCGTGGGGGTTGGAGACCAGGGACACCCTGTACAGGGTCATGTGACCTTTCATGTTCACCCTTCGCCTCTGTGAAGGGGGAGAGCAGGTATGGAGGGGCAGAGGTCATGAGAGACGTGGGGAGACACGTCACAGGCAGAGAGACACTAGAAGGTTGCAGGGGTGGAAAAATGATGACAAAATGCAGGGACGACAAAGACATGGGCGTGGGTGGCTGAGACGGCGTGGAGGTGGAGGAGCCCTGAGGCCAAGGCAACCAGGTGCGAATGTCCCCGTGGTACCGGGGACTGGCCCACAGCCGGTGATAGAGCCAACGACCAAACCAGACAGGACGGGTGGGCTTCCAGGGAGCAAAGGGGCATTTGCAGGGCTGTGGTCTAGAAGGGGTGGTCAGGGCTGCCTCGGGGCCTTGCGTGCAGAGAAGATCAGCTTCCACTGGGGAGGGCTACGGGGCCCCCCCCCGCTTTGCGGGGACCTTGCTTCAGTTAGGGTCAGGAGATGGAGGCTCAGTGCCAGAAGGGAGGCCTTGGCAGTCGGGCTGAGGGACGGGTCTACCCTGATGACAGCGCTCGGCCCATCCCCTCTGGGAACATCTGCTCATGGCCATTCCGTAGTGGGGCTCTGGATTCAGGTAACGTTGGCTCTAACCCAAACTTTGCCCCCGCTCAGTTGCAAAATCTTGGGCCTCAGGACTAAATAATGTCTAGCTTGTAGTATGGAGCTCAAAATAGGTTAGTTTTCTCCGTTTTTTCCCCTCCTCTGGGCCGGGGTGGTGAGAAGCAGGATGGGGAAGGAGAGAGGCTGGTCTCGGGGACCCCTCTCCGGGGCCTTGGGGGCGTGGAGCTCCGGGATGCCAGACAGGCACTGCTGCAGCTGGTCTTCTGCCCACCACCTCGTCCTGCTCCCAGGGGTGTGCTCAGGGCCGTCCCTTCTTCTCCCCAGGAGTAGCCGTCTGTGAGTGGACCCCCCCGGGCTGGTGAGCCGCCTGCCACCCCAAAGCTCGGCTCGGAGCCAGAGTGGCAGGGGCTCTGCGTGCACCGCCCGCATGGAAGCCAGGAGCGGGGCTCCCGGGAGGCGGCCGTGCCTGCCTGCCATCGCGCTGCTGGCCCTCGCCCCTCTGCTCAGCTGCCTGCTCCCCTCCAGCGAAGCCAAGGTCTTCAGCCGCTGCGAGCTGGCCAGAGAGCTACAGGACTACGGTCTGGACGGCTACCGGGGGTACAGCCTGGCCGAATGTGAGCACTCCTGTCCCTCCTCCCCATGCCCACCCTCCTTTCGTCTTCATGCACGGGGCGTGGCTTTTCTTCCCCTTAGCTCATCTGTAACATGGGGTTATCTGGGCCCAGCACTGAGCCAAGCACAAAGGGCGCCAAGCGGCCAGGCTGGAGTCACCCCTTTGTCCTCCCCCCGAACAGCTTAGTACCCTAGACTCACTCGTGGTCACGAGGATCAGACACTCCTACTGAAATTTAGAAAAGGCAAACTGAAAAAAATCAGTAGTACCAAACTTTTCAAGCTGGTGGCAGCTTCTCATAGCTGTCAGTGAAGTACAGGCACCTCTGGACTCATTTTCTCTCTAGTCCCGCCCCCTGCACAGGCCCCACCTGTGTCTTCCTGACCTTGCCTCTTGTAAACTCGCTCAACACACTCGCTGGGCCCTGCTATGTGCTGAGCAATGCGGAAGCGGGGAGGCCGCCAGCCCGGGTCAGGGGCCGCAGGCCCAGGCCTAGCCCTGCTGCTCGGTAGCCGTGTGTGACCCTGGGCAAGTCACTGTGCCCCTCGGAGCCTCCAGGGGGGCATCCGCAGTAGGCGGGTGGGCGCCTGCCCCGGAGCCTCCAGGGGGGCATCCGCAGTAGGCGGGTGGGCGCCTGCCCGGGTCACCCCGGCGCAGGCGGGTGGGCGCCTGCCCGGGTCACCCCGGCGCAGGTGAGGCTGGTGGAGCCGACTCGTGAGACCCCCGTCGAGTGCTGGGTCCTGACCCGGCCTGTGCTCTGCCCGCCAGGGGTCTGCCTCGCTTATTTCACCAGCGGCTTCAACACGGCCGCGGTGGACCACGAGGCCGACGGAAGCACCAACAACGGCATCTTCCAGATCAACAGCCGGAAGTGGTGCAAAAACCTCACCCCGCAGGCCATCAACCGGTGCCGGATGTACTGCTCTGGTAGCCGGGCGGGCCCGGGGCTGGCTGGGCTTGGGCCCCTGCACCAGCCTTTGCTTCTTCCCCAGTTTAGTTGGCCCCCACTTTTATCTCTGAGTGGGGGTCCCCCAACAACGAGGAGAGGGAGACGGCGGGGTGGGGGTGATGAGGGTGGGTCCTCCATGGACTCGATTTGGGGTCCCAGATGGGAGACTGGCCTTAGCCCTGTAGGAATGGAGGGGGACGGGGTCTGATGGAGGGGGAGAGGGCTAGGGGGATGGCGCCTGTGCTTCTGGAGTGGTGGGGATGGGATTGGATTTAGGGTCCAGGAGGGTGTGGGTGCGTGAGACCAAGACCCTCTAGATACCCGGGTCTGCTCCCTGTCCCCTCATTGTGTGTTTCCCTGGCCTCCCACCCAGATTTGTTGAGTTCTGACCTCAAGGACACTGTTATCTGTGCCATGAAGATAGTCCAAGAGCCTCTGGGTATGGGCTCCTGGTAAGTGACTTGGGCTGGAGCGCCCAGGTGGTGTGGCCAGGCCTGGTCTCCCTCCTGCTCTCTGAGCAGTGACCGGCGACCGCAGCTGATGTGGTCTCTCCTCTTCACTGCTATCCTCCCCAGGGAGGCCTGGAGGCATCACTGCCAGGGCAAGGACCTTGCGGACTGGGTGGATGGCTGTGACCTCTAGGATCCTCTCTGCATGGACCGGACCGGACCCAGCAGGCTGGGAAATGCGGTTTGGTTTTCGACCCAGGTGTGGGAAGACGAGTCAAGTAATAAAGTATAGTTTAACGTTAACGTGGGTCTCTGCTCTCCGTGTGTTTGCAGGTGCCTGTCGGAGCACAAGCGCCTCAGTGCTTCCTCACCTCACCTGTCCACCTGGGCTGGGCTTCAGGTGAACTCTAAAAAGCTGACCACAAAAAGTCTTGCTTCCATTCCTCGTGTTCTGGGGCTGGGGGTGGGGTGGGGGTGGGTAGGGGGAAATCACTGCCGTTTTTGCCCACACCTGGCAGAGTTTCAGTCTAGGGTTGCCAGATTTGGCAAAACAAATAAATAAAAAGCAAACAACAGAAACAAGATGCCCTAGTTAAATTAGACTTTTGAATATATAATAAGCAATTTTAAGTGTAAGTATTTCCAAATTATAGCATGGGACATTCTTGTATTAAAAATCATCTGTGGTATATCTGAAATTCAGATTTAACCGGGTGTCTATATTTTACTTAGCAAACGTAGCTGAGTCTGGTGTTGTGTACCCTGGCTTGTTGAGGAGGGTCCTTGGGACCCTTATTCTCTGCAGCTCTGGCTGCAGATGGTGGCCACGGTGCCTTGGCCGTCCCGCTGGTGGCTGCTGACCGCATACTCCTGCCACCCTGGGGTGGTGCACAGGGAGGAACGCCAAGGACTTCCGCTTCACCTCTCGCCTGCTCTCCAGTGCCCTCTCGCGGCAGGAAATCCAAGTGTGGCTGATGGAGATGGTGGGGCCACTCCCTGGGTTAGGAAGTCACCGCACACTGCTCATTACTGCTAGGAGGCTGGGGGCTGGGGGCTGGGGTAGGAGGTGCCAGTACTTTCAGGTAGCAATCTGCAGGACCAGTACAGTTCTCTGCCTTCCTGGAAGGAGGGTGCCCAAAGGAGGAAGGAAGATGGGCGGAGTCTCAGGACCACAGTGGATGGGGTGCCAAAAGCAGCCGCCAAGGTGACAGGGTGACGTGTGAGAGGGCTGAGCCCTGCATTCGGTTTGTAGATTCAAAGAATGTTGCAAGTACTGAACTTTTGTTGGTTGAGACATGGCTGGTGACTCCTAGGGAGGGGGCAACAATGTCGGGGCCCCCTGCCCCTCTTGCTAACTGTCGTCTCTGAATACCACTGGGTCAGCAGGCGCCAGGCGGGCGCCGGGCGTGCACCACTGGTGACGCAGGCCGGTCTCCTTCCACTGTGGGTCTGGTCAAGGTGATGACAAGACTCGAGAGCCGCTCATATGAATGGCCGGTGGGGAAGGCCGCTGCTGGGGGCGGGGCTTCCCTGACTAAGGCTCCATTCACTCAGAGCTAGGGGAAGCTGCTCTCTCTTAAATGCTAAAGCAAGCACTGCGAGCCCACCCTGTGCCAGGCAGTATCTCATCTCACCCTGGAACAGGGTCTCAACTGGTCCCTACAGTATGCTGGGACTGTAGGGACCAAGGCGATCGCCATTCTGCAGACACGGAAGCAGGCTCGGGTCGCAGGACTGCACGTGCGCCCTCACTGCGCTGTGCTGAGGGGCTGTTGTTATGGCCACCGGCCAGAGACCCTCCTATCCCATCCGTTCTTGGATGAGTCGTGGCTCTACTTCAACTCCAGACTCCTGCCGTCCTTGTCGCCCGAGTTCCATTCAGCTCTTGGGTGGATGCCCGGAGCAGGGGGAGACGGAGGAGAATGAGGGGACAGCACCCTGACTACACCCTCCCGTGGGGCGGCTAGAGCGTGCGCAGGCACAGCTGGAAGTGCAGCCGGAGGGGCTGCAGGCCCCGCTCCTGGGTGCAGTGTCAGGTGCTTAGAGTACCCAGGCCACGTCCTGCTGTCTCCCTGCCTCCATCACCGTCTCACCCCACTTCCCGTTTGCCGTGAGCCCTGCCTGTTTTACCTTCTGACTGTCTCGGGAGACTGCCCCTCCTTTCCTACTTGAATACAGCTGCTTTGATTCAAACCCTCATGCCTCTTCCCTGGGACAATGGCAGTGGTTTCCTAAGAGTGTCCTTGCCTCTAACCTTGGTCCTCACCATGCCACCAAGCCGCCTCCTCCCTCAGGGTGAGCTTTCTGTCTCGTGTCTGCCCCGCATCCTGGTTCCAGTGGCTTTTCTCACCTTTGAGTTCAAGTTCCTTGGCTTGGTATACAGGATCCTTCATGACCAAGGCTCAGCTGACCACTACAGATTCATCTCTCAATGATTCGGAAACTTTGGCTGAGCTGGTTTCTGCTTCTGGCAGTCAGTTCCCAGAGAGTAGCATGCTGCTTTAGACCTTTTCGCAATCACCTAATGTTCTCCCTCTCACTCATCACACTCCAGTTAATAAACTTTGTCCTTTGGGTGCAACAAATGGTTTGTACCACAGGGCCTTTGCACGTGCTATCCAGTCTTCCTTGATGCCATTTCCTCAGATCTTTGAGTGGCTATTCCTTTCTCTTCAGTCAGGCCTTGTCTCAGGTAGTTACTCTGCCAAATTGCCTGCTTGGTAACGTCTACCTAGCGCTCAAGGCTTCAGGCAATACCCGCTCCAGCTCAGGCAGCCAGACAGGCCCAGGTGTCTTGGGCACCTTTGTAGCTCTTGCTGCTCAGGTGTTTGTGTACCTGTCTGTTGCCCAACTAGACTCTCTGTCTTTTTGATATATGAATTCCCAGTGCCTAGCACAGTGCCTGGCACTTAGAAGATGCTCATGGAGTGATGGATTTGCGGCGGAGACCCAAGCCTGGTGGTGGGATGTCTTCTTCCAGCTCTTTCTTGACCCGTCCTACCGCTAAGCCTGGTTGAGCTGGGTGTGCTTCAGTGTCCACCAATCACTTTGTACTGAGCCTATTTTAGCTTGGCCATAACTCCATTTGAAAAGAAGCCACAAAAGTCCGAATGACACTAAAGACAAATGGCCCATCATGGTGATAATTTAGCCAAATGAGCCCCTTCCTTCAGAGGCATGGTGCAGAGAGAGCTTCAAGGAAATAAGACACCCAAATTCCCGTCCCAAAGCATCACTCACAGCAGGCGGTGGGCAGTTTTTAACCCCTCCCCCCCACCACTGTAGCCCTGCTCAGAGACAAATGAGGTGTCACCAGGAGGGTGTGTTCAGAGGCTTAGTGGCAGCCAGAGGACATCGTGCATACACTTTCCAGGTGCAGGGGACCCAGTGGCCACGTTCTTTAAGAACCAGGCCGTGGGGATGTCTGCAAAGTAGATGCTCCGGTCGCCTTTTGTGTACACAGGTCTCCTCAGCCCTCAAACCATTCACATGCATAAAACAATTTCATGAGACCACATTTCCAAGCCCTCCCGTTCCTATTCATTCCTGCCTGCTCACTCACGTTGCCATCTGTGAGAACACGCTAGCACACGGGTTGCGGGTGGCAGGTACCAAAGGTCCATAAAACTGATGGGAGGAAAAAAACCTTGAAATCGATCAAATCCTATCTTTTCTTTTCCTTGATGTAAATTGAAAAATGATAGTCCTTGTGTCATTTTGGGAGAAGAAATGTTGGTAGCTCTTTGTGGTACTGGCGTGTTCTTTTGCAGGATCGTTTAGCACTTTCTAGATAGGGTGACTCTGCCTAACACTGGTGGGTGCCTTGGAGGCTCGCAAATGGGCCCCCGGAATCCATAACCCTAACCCTAAAATTGCATGTAAAATGTTATGCATATCTATGTGACCATGTGCATTTTTTTTTCTGAGGACAGAGTTCACAGCTTTCACCTTATTTTTAAGAGAGCCAGAGATCCAAACAAGATTAAAAGTCAGTGTTTTACAGGAGGCCAGCCCTGACAGCCCCGAGCCGCTCTGCACAGCAACAGGGCCACGGGGGACAGGCTCTCTGGCACAGCTGGGGAGGGGGCAGGGGAAGGAAGGAGGGGGATCACTGGATGAGCGCAGAGCACAGGTCCACCAGTCATCGGACTAGTGTGGGTTGACCGTCTGTCACTCGCCCTCAAAGGGTTTGTAATCTGAGCAGGGAACACTGACAAGTACAGGTGACTACAAAAGATGCATCTGAGCTTTCCAGTGGAGGGGAACGAGAGAGCAGCACGTGCCACGCCCGGGGGATGGGAGAAGGGCAGTGCAGGGGACTGTTCATAGGTTCAGGGGACGCAAGCAAAGCAGTGAGGGGGAAATGTCCTAAACGGCCACCGAGAGGTACGCAGGTGCCAAGGATGAAGGTCCTGGTCCCCATGCTGAGAACAGTGCCATGGCTAACGTCCTTCAAGCTCTTCCTTGCTCCCCAAGAGTTTATGGAGACGTCTCCCAAGCCAAGGGTGGACTCACTGAGCTAACGCCTCTCCCCCCGCTCTTCTGAGACTCCCAGCCTCTCAGCACAGCCTCAAATTCCTCGCCCTCTCTGAGCACCCGGTTTCTTTGTCGGGATCGTGAGATTCCTGGGGACCTCATGGAGGCCCTCAGCTCTGTGCAGAATTCGATTCTCAAAATGGAGCTGGACTCTCTGAGCTTGTGGAGGAAGAGGTTTTCCTTGGGCCTCTGGGCTCAGGTGTGTTGAGCTGAGCTTTACCTGCGGGAACATGTGACCCTCCAGGATCAGCCCTGCGGGCGGGTCCTGCCTCCAACCTCCTCCTCCCAGGCTCACCAAGAGCCTCCCTCCGGAGACCCTCTGTGGACTCTGGTCTCCCCCCCCAATCAGCGCTTACGGCCCTGCAAACTCCCCACAAGGCGTGTTCATGGTTAAACCTCCCATAAAATTAGCTTCAAGCTGGAAAGAGGAAAATAAAATAACTCCGGCCTCTCTCTGCCAAGAAAAACAAAGCGACAGTGCGCAGGCAGCCGGCTCCGTGCCCTGGCACGGAAAGGCTCCATCCTCGTGCTCTCCGCGACGGCGGCACACCTCGCCAAGCCTGTTTCTGGGGTCCTGTGCCATCAATTCATTATTATTCTTTTTTTATTTACATTTATTTATTTTTTGAGACAGAGTCTCCCTTTGTTGCCCAGGCTAGAGTGCCGTGGCGTCAGCCTAGCTCACAGCAACCTCAAACTCCTGGGCTCAAGCAATCCTCCTGCCTCAGCCTCCCAAGTAGCTGGGACTACAGGCATGCACCACCATG